CATCTGTTACCCCCAGGAGCCAGGTCTGGGTTTGTCACACTCTTGGGGATGAGGGGGACTTGGAGGGGGTCAAGTAAAAATCTGTGGAAGGTGGAGCCTGAGCATGGTGGAGATTAGGTTGGAAAGGCAGTTGGACGACTTAGTGTGGGTCAGGAAGACCACTGAAACCAAAAATAACCCAGCTCTAGGGGAAAAAAGGTTACCACATACACCGAAAGGAATTTTTCGACTTTATTTTCCCCCTGCACAAATTTTCAGAAGAGGCTAATCACAAGAGAGATATAATAGTCGGACAAACATTATGCACATGTACACAGTTATATATTTAACTAATAAATTAACTCTAAATTGACAACTTCTAGATGGTGAACCCACTTGAGTTGAGGGAAATGTCCATTTCTGACGTCTTTTTATTACACTATTCTAAATGAGAGGAATACCTCATTTACTTACATGGGTAAAATTGTACTCAGTGATCACCACTGCATACTAAGAAATATGCCACTAATTAGCCAAGGTCATCAGATCATAAATTATACGTGAAGGATCAGAAATTTGATGTTTTGTAATCTCTTTTAGACTTTAACTTTCGCTGAGTTTAAAAAATTTTTTTCAAGTTCATTTATTTGTTTTCTAGAAGTAGCCTGGTATACAGGAATATGCACAAATCGCTCCATAAGAAAGAGGTGCTATGTAGAACCAGACTGAAATCTAGAAGCAAAATAATCAGTAGTTTCTGTGTGCATGACAGTTTCAAATTATTTGAAAGCTCCAAGAACACTCAAAGGCATGTCCATGGACTGTAAGCAGGCAAATATATACACATACTATAAAGCCCTTTTAACCAGAATGCTGGATTTTCTCTTTTCTTGAACTTTCCAATTTACCACGTTCATAGACATAGGTAATTCCCACTTGCAGGAAGCATCTGGTGGAATGCTAGTTTAGCAAGATGCTCTATAACAAAGGGCTTGTGATCAAATAAATCTGGGAGTGCTGCCCTAGTCCCATATTTGTTTGAACTTGAGAAATAATATGAAGGATAATGTTGAAGACATTGTCCACCACATCCCACAGCATCCCTGCTGGGAGGGCCCAGGAGAAGAATGACATTCAAAACTCGGGGCTGAGGGAAGCTGTGCTTTTCCAAACCCCCTGGTATGCTTTATCTTTTGGTTACTTTAACTCAGAACTGATCAGAATTTCCTCTTTGGTCAAATAGGCAGTTCGAGGCAAGCTTATAACCCACTTCTAATGAATGTATAGAACCTTAGAGAATGAATTTCTGAATAACTTTAAGGTAGTTGTTATTATTTTCTCTTTGTCCTGCTTTTCTTTAACCGTAGTGTACCTTCGGTTCTTTCGAGACTCATGAGAAAGCAAAAATTGAAAGAGAGGATGATGGGGAGTGAGGAGAGGGAGAGATAGAGACAGAAAAGCAAAGATATAATCACAGATTACTGAGGTCCTACTTTGTGTTAGGTGTTGTCCCAATTCTTTACACGTATGAGTTTCAATCCTTTATGTGTATAACTCCTTAGATATATTTCTTTGTTATTTATTTATTTTTATGTTTAGTTTTTGTTTTGGGGGGAGGTAACTAGGTTTTATTTATTTACTTATTTATTTTAAAAGAGTTACTGGGTAGATGTATCTTCTTAATGATCCATGAAGTTGTTAAGAGCCCCATTACATAGGTGACGAAAATGAGGTATAAAGAGATTGAATAACTTACCCAAACCAACACAGTTAGCTGGCAGAGGCAATGGGGTTGGATTCAACCCCAGGCAGTCTGGCCCCCGAGCACCCACTATGCAAAATTAACAACAGACTAAATGGTTTGGCTTCCATTCTGTACTGGTTTACTCTTATCCTTGAACCACTGGTTAACTCCCAGAAGAAAAAAAAAAAGAGGAGCTTATTTCTAAAGCATGTTGATCTGGCACCGACAGCCCCAAATCCTAAATGTACAGCACACTGGGCAGTGGGAAACGCTGCAAAGAAACTGTGAGCCAGAAGGACTAAAATGAATTGCTTTTTAAGGATGATGAACTCATGAAGGTTTTATTATTATCAGGTATTGCTAAATGCCAACAGTAACTGTTTTTTCTCCTTTACAGGTAATCAGAAGTCACAGCTATGTATATGGGGGTGGGGTGGGGAGTAGGGGAGGAGGTGGGAGGTAGGGGGTGATAACAGTGGTGGACAGGAAGATATTCTTGTTTGTCATTTACTGAGCTGGTCTGAAGATGTAATTCCCCTTTTGACTGTCTAAGAAATCTGTGAGCAGACATAGAAAACAAACTTCTGGTTACCCAAGGGGAAAGGGTGGGTGGAGGGATAAATTAGGAGTTTGGGATTAGCAGGCACAGAATACCATATACAAAATAGATAAATAAGAAGGTTCTACTGTATAGCATGGGGAACTATATTCAATAGCTTGTAATAACCTATAATGACAAAGAATATATATATGTATAAATGAATCACTATGCTGTTAACACCAGAAACTTACACAACATTTTTTTTCACTGAGGTATAGTCAGTTTACAATGTTGTGCCAGTTTCTGGTGTATAGCACATATATGAATATACATATATTCATTTTCATATTCTTTTTCACTGTAAGCTACTACAAGATATTGAATATATTTCCCTGTGCTATACAGTATAAACTTGTTTATCTATTTTATATATACCAGTCAGTATCTGCAAACCATGAACTCCTAGTTTATCCCTTCCCACCTCTCTCCCCCTTGGCAACCACAAGTCTGTGAGTCTGTTTCTGTTTTATATATGTTTATTTGTCTTTTTTTTTTTTAGATTCCACATATGAGTGATATCATATGGTATTTTTCTTTCTCTTTCTGGCTTACTTCACTTAGAATGACATTCTCCAGAGCCATCCATGTTGCTGCAAATAGCATTATTTTATCATTTTTAATGGCTGAGTAGTATTCCATTGTATAAATATACCATAACTTCTTTACCCACTCATCTGTCAGTGGACATTTAGGCTGTTTCCATGTCTTGGCTATTGTAAATAGTGCTGCTATGAACACTAGAGTGCAGGTGTCTTTTTGAATTAAGGATCCCTCTGGATATATGCCCAGGAGCGAGATTCCTGGGCCATATGGTAAGTCTACTCCTAGTCTTTTGAGGAATCTCCATACTGTTTTCCAGCGCTGCACCAAACTGCATTCCCATCAACAGTAACACAACATTCTAATTCAACTCTACTTCAACTTTAAATTTTTAAAATTAAAAATTAAAAAAAAAAAGAAAATCTGTGAGCATCTTATGAAAGGGGAAGGGACTTCAGAAACTCCTAGGACATATTTTGAGATCCAAAGTGTGAAAAAGTACAAGTAAAACAGTCTCAATTTCTAGGGGAAAACAATCTGAATGGGACAAATCTTGACACTTCAGAAAAGTACTGTTACTGTTGACATGGTTCAAAATCAAACCAAACACAAACCAAAACAAAACAATGACTGCTTATACTCAGAAAAAAGAGACAATGAATATGACTGAAAAATTATACAAAACCTTCTGTACCTCTGAATACATCAGTGACAAGAGCGGCTACACCATCAGGACCAAAAGACTTCTGTGGGACAGGTGTCCCTCAAAGCCTCTGGGATACGAGGAAACTGGCTCTGAATCTCATTAGGTTGTCCTCAAGGTCCCAGTTAATCAGTGTCTACATTCATCTGGGTTTAGCCTGGTACACTTAACGTTACACAATTAAATGCCACAAGGTCCAAATCAGCTTAAACAAGTCATTTTTCCCCTTGGTGCGGCTGCGTTACACAGCCGACAAGGCCATACGACTGAGGCAAAATATATCATAATTAATTACCAGACGCCTGAAGGGAACCCACTCCGCTAGTCTCCACATTTTATTTAATGGATTAAAAATAAAATACTATTAACAATAAACACTCCTGACTCCTAATAACTATTTAGTTGACATAATGACTGTCTCAGTCATGTAACAGGTTTTTAAAAAATTAAGCAGCACATTTTTGCTTAGCAGGCTATATAGACATTATCATGTAGTTCTATGTGGAGAATGATTTTTTTAAGAAATTGATCCTTGATGTGTTTCCATAAAGGTGCTTCTCTAAAGCTCAGTCTATTAAGAAAAATCACCCAAATAAATGTTTATAAAATTAACATAAATATTGATGTGAACTAGCTTGAACTCTGCTGTTTTACTGTTTGACATTTTGACCACAATTTCTCAACATATGCATCCCCTATAAACATATGGTATATAGCTGCTTCCTAAAGGTTGCCCGATAATACTCTTAATTTTAAGCTCATCAGAATGTCTTATAAATCCACAGGTCTCAATATTTCTACAATTAAAAACAATCAGAGTTTCAAGTTTATCTGAGGCATTTCAAAATTTGTTATCAAAAGGTATTATAACTATTTGAGGGTTTGAAAGGTTTCCAAATTAAAGATAAACATTTCAGGATTAAGGATCAATCTAGGAGAAAGCTTTGATAAGTCTCCATTTTCCTTAATTTTTTGAGCTTATTCTTTAAGTCCTAGGGTGCTTCGGCTGAATTTTGCTGAACTTTTGCATACCAATTGTTCATTTTCAGCAACATTCAGGGTATGCCTCTTGCATTTGTCAACCTGCCTAAGCAAAAGATTTGAGGGAAAAAAAATTTCATTCACTCAGCGAACATTAAGTCTTGGGCACTGGGCAAGGCTGAGGTCAAAGGGTGAATAAGACCTAGCCCCCAGTATAATTACTCTTAATTAAGAAAGGAATATGCTAGAATTAATGACTCAATTTTCACTTTTGACATTCTATTGCTCATGTTAACTTTAGAAATGCTCACATTAAAAAAATGCAGTCTAAGCCTGTGATGGTTTAAGAGTAGTGGGCAGAATGGATTTCTGAACAATTTTATTTTGAGGCTTAAATGGTGAGATGTTAATGATTAACTTAGTGGCACAACACGTTCCATTGGATATTCTTTGTTTTATAATGTGCCAAATGGATGAGACCTGTTACTGGGGTGAGTTACTGAAATACTCTCAAACAGGAAAGTTGGGTTGAAAGTCTACTGAATGTGCCACAATGCTGACATTTTATTTGCCACTCGTGACTGTGAGGATGACGAGAATTACTACCACCATTATCCTAACTGAGGCACACAAAATGGTGATTGAGAGACCGTTGAGGCTGCACCTAAGTTTACATGAATCTGTTTATTCCCAGGTCCTACAGCAGAGGCTTTACGCTGTACTCACGGGCAAACAGGCGCTAAGCAGAATTAGCTGGAAGTTGAAGGGGTGGACTTGAGTTTTTGACATGTCTGGAACTTTTTTGCTACCGGGTATATGATTTTATCTGGATGGCTTGCTTGGGGTGCAGATTTCAGAGAGCTTTTGTATAAAGGTGTGAAGAGATGGGTTGCTACAAGACATGGAAGAAGGAGTTTTAAGCAGAGGCAGACCTGTTACCCTAAAATTTAAGGGGCATTTCACAGCAGCAGTCAAATGCAACTTACCAGCTGAGAGGCAGCTGAATGGATGCTCCTAGGATAGAAGAGCAAACAGCTTTGAATTCTAATAAATAATTATAAACCCCCCCAAAAAATGCAGTCTATGAAATGGCCTTCTATTTAGAGCGATTGTCATGTGAGGAACTAATGCCTGGATTTTTCAGCTCTTCCTGTTCTTAATGGCCTTTAACCCCAGCAATTAGAAGAATGTGGGTTAGACTCCACCCACGTGTTTTCTTAAGAATTTATGGAAATGTACTGTCTATCTCTATGGGAATAGTTCTAGGGCACCAAAGGGCCCTAGTTGTGACCATTCATGTTCTATCAAAATCTAAATCCAGTTTCAAATGTGTTTGTTTATTCCATTTCCCAAAGTCCTTGAGAAAAATTACTCCTGAAAACACTAAAATGTGAACCACTCTCATTAACAGATAATGACACCTTACAGCACATGCCACTTCTCTTTTCTTGCCTTACTGATGATATTTGTTACAGAGAATCCTTGTTTCATGATGGAATAACTGGAGAATTCCTATTGCTCATCAGCTTAAAGGTCAAGGGTCATGCTGGTCAGTCACGCTTCTGAAAGCAAACAGGACAGACCTACTACTTCCTAGGATGAGGCATGGAACAACGAATAAAAGTGACCAAATACCAGAGAAACAGTAAATAAAAAGAATGTCGACAAAGCTCGGAGCACCTGGTTGGTATGAAATAAATTAGACCAGGCACATTTACAAAAGTTTTCCTATAGAAAGAAATGTTTAAATATGCTAAATACAGCAAATATTGTGACTCAGAATTTTAGTCCAGCATGTTTTGAATATGAGCAATAGTGTTTATGTGTAGCAGACATGCCAACCGGTTTTTACTGAACATCAATATTTATTGTCATTGGGGTATTATTGATTTTGGCTTCTTGTTGGTCAGTATTTTCCTTCAGAAAAGCACCTTGGACTTTCCTGCCTCTGTACATTTATTTAAGCAGTTCCCTTCATTCAGAATGCCTTTTCCACATATTCAAATATTACTCACTGTCCAAAAGCCAGGCCAGACTTCACCTCTCCCTCCCATGAAGATTTCCCTAATCTCAGGAACTGGAGTTAAGTACTTCCTTCTTTGACGCTCCGAAGAACATCCTTGCAACATGATTCAAGTAATCAGAGTCACTACAAGTTAGACTTATCAACCCAACATTTACTGGAATTTATCTCCTTTTTTTAGACTGTAAATGCTTTGAGGGGAAGCACAGGACTGCACTTTATTCATATTTGCCTATTCAGAATCCTTAGCATGAGGAACTGTTCTGCACACAGCAGACGGAATATTTGTATGTACATACTCATGCTCTCAATGAATGACTACAAATAACTGTCATAATGTAATTCACACCCAACACTAATTTTAAACGGTTGTAAAAATTCATTTAATCATTCATGAGTTTTTGAACATTCACTTTTGACCAGGCACTCTTTTAGGAGCTACAGACACAGCAGAGACCAAAACAGACCTGGTCTCCTGGACTTTCACTTCTGATGCCAAAAAAAAGGACATATAAATATACACTACAAAGTCGGGCTGTGATAAGTGTAGGGTAAGAGGAGAATGCAAGAGACAGTATTTCAGACAAGGTGATCAGGAAAGAGCTTTCTGAGGAGGCCACACATGAACAAAGCAAGTGTGAACTCTAGGGAATATCTGGGAGCAGGGTTTCTGGGCAGAAGTACTAGCAAGAACAGAGATGTTCTGGCAAGAAAGTGCTAGGCATTTCAGAAAGTTGGGTAAAGAAGAGTGGTAGGAATTATGGTTGGAGGGCTAAGTGGCCCAGTAACGGGAGGCCATGTGGACCATGCACAGTAAAGACTGGGTTTTATGCCAAATGTGATACAAATGACTGGATGGTCTGATCATAGGATGACTTCATCTGATTTAAGATTTCAAAGCACATGGCTGCTAACAATTAAAAAAAGAATATATGGGGGCCCTTGTAGAAGGGAGATCAATTAGGAGACCACCATAGCAGCGCAAGGCAGAGGTGCTGCTGGATCAGGGTGGTAACAGTGATGGTGCAGAGAAGTGGTCAGCTTGGGAAGTCCTTAGAAGGTAGAGCCTCCAGGAGCTGCTGATGGATTGCATGTGAGGGGTGAGACAGAGAGAGGAATCCAAGTTGGCTCCAAGGTTTTGGTTTGAAAAACGAAATGGAAACAAATTTCCATTAATTGAGATAAAGGACACTGGAAAGAGAAGGATGTGGGGAAGTAAGAGTTCTGTTCTGGACACATTAAGCTTGAGTTGACAAATAGCAGTCAATTGGACATGTCAAGTAGGTAGCTAGATGTAAGTCCACAGCTTGAGATACAAATGTGAGATTTACGGGAATACAGCCACAATCTATTTAAACATCTACATGCTTTCGAGACTATAAGGTTAAAATTAACTGGTATACTTTAAAGCCCACTTACAACCTATTAAGTATAGTGAATTTAAAAAATAAAGTTACTTTAATCTGTTGCCTACCACAACAACAGTTGACCCTAATCCCAGAGGCATAAATAAGCATGTACATTTTGGGCAAACTTTAATCATAAAAAAGAATGAAGTATATTCTACCATAAATATTTCAGCAAATAGTCATATGACAGAACATGAATGTTTAATCTAGACATCACCTCTGTCATTGTATGTTAGACAGTATGTCTGTGATTTCCTCTAGAAATTCCAAAATGCAGCCAATTTTTTTCCATGTATAAGTGAAAGTGATACTTCCCCATTATTTGCCACCTTTTTCTTTATCTCTTGTTCTCACTCTCACGCTGCACTGCATAGGATTCTTAAAAGAATAAAAATGTATTTCATATTGTCCTAGCCAACTTTGTGCTGCCGACTCAAGGGAAAACCCAACCTAATATAGGTTCCTACTCAATGTATGTCATATACACATGTGGTAAAGGTAGATTTGGGGAGACATGGGAAATCATCATTTTCCTCCCTTAGGAATAAAATTAGCTAATTCTCCTCAACTCCTCAATTCCCCAAAGAATAATTCCCCCTCATTTATTTTCAAGTGAGGCTGTTAATATAAGGAATAAAAATGAGTGGAAAATTTACCTGTCCCAACTATGACTAGTCAACCCAAAAGACACAATCTGTGTCAGCAAGGAAATAAAAGGTGAAGAAGAGACATAGTCCCAAGTCAGCTGAGGGCTGGATGGTTGCAACAGCCTTCTCGCCGGTCTTGTCTTCAGTCTCTCTGTGTGGCTTCATTCTGTTTTTTTCATTGCTAAACTAATCTTTTTGCAGCACTGTGTATTAGCCTCCTACTGCTGCTGTAACAAATTACCACAAACTTAATGGTTTAAAAGAACACAGATTTATTCTCATAGTTTTGGAAGTCTGAAGTCTGAAATGTATCTTACTGGTTTCAAACCAGGGTGTTGATAGGGCTGTGTCCCTTTTGGAGGTTCTAGGGGAAGATGTATTTCCTTGCCTTTTCCAGCTTCTACAGGCACCAACATTCCTTGGCTTGTGGCCCCTTCCTCCAGCCTTAAAGTGAGTGGCATAATATCTTCAAATCTCTCTGTCTGACCTCTGCTTCCATCATCACATTTCCTTCTCTGACTCTTAACACTCTTGCCTTCCTCTGATTAGGACCCTAGCGATTCCAATGGGATGACTTAGATAATCCAGGATAATCTTCCCATCTTAAGAGCATCACCAGTCACATCTGCCAAGTCCCTTCTGCCATTAAAATAATACATTCACAGGACATCTTGAGGGAGAGGGGCATTATTCTATCTACTGAACATTGTTTTCAAATAATTCATTTCTCAGAAATGTTTTGTGATCATCCTGGAGGTTAATAACTAGGGCTTTGAGTCAGACAACCCTGGATTTAAAACCTGCTTCATCACACATCAGCTGCGTGACCTTGGACATGATTCTTAGCTTCTCTAAACCTTAATTTCTGATTCTAGAAAATGAGGTAATAATGGTATCTATTTTATAATGATAATGAGATAATAAATGCAAAACACATGATATAATTTAGTTTAAAAATACTTATTGAGTTGCCCTCTGTGTTCCAGGCCCTGCGCTGGGATATCATATTTCTCTCTGAGTCGAGAACAAAGTGTCTGGTATTAGCAGCCCTCCACAAAGGCCTTCTCCTCCAGTGCTTGTTGGCTGTACACTCCCTGGCACCCACCATATACTATTTTGCCCTAATACTTAACTGTTCACATAAATATGCCTGCCCTAGCTAAACTACAAGATCCAAGGCTAGTATCTTCTCTAAGTCCTGATTCTATTTTAAAATAAATAAAGAAAGTCAGTCTAATGTGCCTGTCCCCCATCCACCCAGTACCAAAGACACCCACGTTCCAGCTCCCTGCTTTCTCCAGCTTAATATGCTCTTAGCCCAGTCAGACCCCTCCTTGTGTCCTGTCTGCTACCTCACTACAGACTCACTCAGCCCCAAATTCTACCCTCCTAGCTGCCGAAGCAGCCCCTGGCCTCCCGTCTCTCTCACCCTTGTTTCTCAAGGAAGTTTCTAGAAGAGTGGCTTTTGCTCTGGCTCCAGAACTAGAACACTGTTGAAGAGTAACTGGTGTATTCTGAAGAAACAGTGAATGGAGGATTGAATGAAGGAAGGGGTACCGGCAGAATCTTACTACAACCTGGTTTCCTGTTATTACTAAATCAGATACAACGTAGATTGGTTCTCTCCTCTCAAAAAATAAAATCATTTCACAAAAGCAAAGTCTGAGAAAACCAGAAAAGCCCAGTTCATGTATGAATATGTAGCAGGCCTTTCTTTACATACTTGCATTCCAGAGAGGGTCTACAGTACGTGGAAAATCAATCATGAGTCCAGGTTATTATTTTTTTTTAAAGGAGGGGATCTTTTCCATATGACACCTAATGGCGGCAGCAATA